CAGCGGGGAGAGGGAAGGAGGTGGTAGGCGAGGAACCTGGTTTGGACAAAAGGCAAAAATAAACATTTGCATACTCACCTGGCAGGGGAGACTCCATGATCATGAAGGTGGTTTTCCCTGGGCGAGACCTTTCTACTGCGCTCTGGATGTGCTGGCCATTGTGATTTCCCCAAATGTGGGAAACTCGACTGCATAATGTGTGGTAGTGGGGGTCGGCGCAAAGGCAATAAACATTTGCTGGAGGGAAACAGAGGGAGCCTAGCCTGCTGGACTGGTGTTGAGGGTGGGAGGGGGTTGGACGAGGTTCCGTCTGAAAGCCGGGGACCACAGGCAGCCACGCAGGCCAAGGTAGCCTGCTCAGGGAGCCGTGCCTGAGAGAGGCCAAACATGAGAGCCGGGGAGATTCCAGTCACTGATCAATAATTAAAAGGAACGTTAAAAAATGCTTATGCAGCTGAAACCAGTTTGGCTCAGTGGATAGATTGTTGGTCTGCGGACTGAAAGGTCCCAGGTTCGATTCCGGTCAAGGGCATGTACATTGGTTGCGGGCACATCCCATGGGGAGTGTGCAGGAGGCAGCTGGTCGATGATTCTCCCTCATCGACGTTTTTAACTCTCTATCCCTCTGTGAAAAATCAATAAAATATGTTTTTTTTTTTAAAAAAAAATGCTTATGCGGTAGTTTGTTATATTTTGAAAGGAGTTTGTTATATTTCTCTGGTCTTGTAGGTCCTTATCAAAAGGGTATCTATCGGGGGCAAGGAAGGACAGGCCCCATCTCACTGAATTCATTCAAATTTCCCATTTGTGGAGGACACTCCCGGCATTGCATTCCTTCAGGGCCTAAGAGCCACTGGAAGACCAGAGGGATGTCCTAGGCCCTGGCTCCTGTCCCACTTTGTTCAGAGCAGGTAGTTCCTGGCAGGTTTCTACGCCTTTTATCCTCCAAGTGGGTCAGAGTCTCCCTGATCAGCTGGTGCGGGCAGAGGTGTTTTCTCCAGTTGCACCTGGTGCTCGGGGAAGTGGTTCTACAGAGGGGCGATTGTGTCAATCTGAGAGTTTGTAGATGGGAATTCGAGGAACCCCTCACAGCAGGGGAGGAGGGCGATGGTGTTGTCAGTATGTAGGGGTATCTCCCGACAAGACGGTGGGCCAGGGGCTGGCAGGAACCACTTCTCCCTCCCTGTCTCCCCTCTTCCTCTCTCTGAGGCCTCCTCCCTCAGCAGGCTGACTTCACGGCCACTTTAAGGTACAGAAGCTGATGTAGCCTTTTCTCATATCATTTCCTGAGTCAATGCCCTGAAAGGATGCAACCAGCCCTCTCGGTGCCGGTATTAGATTTCCAGGAGAGAGAATCCAGCCTGGGGTCAGGAGTCCACCCCTGGGCTCTTAGCTCTGGCCGGAAGGGCCCAGACCCTCGGTGCAGACCAGGCTGCAGGGGCCCAGCTGTGTGGTGTGTGTAACTGGGGGGGAGGGCGGCTCCCGGTGTCCCAGGAGAGAATGAAGACCATGCAGAGGGAGAGGGTGTCTGACTGGCCTGCAGATATTTCAGAGGCGAGACTGCAGGGCCTTCTGGACACCCTGGTGCATTGGGACCATTCCCTAAGCTTTGCCTTTGTGGAGCTGGGGGACTGGCCCCTGTCGTCCTCACCAGTGCTGCCATCTGGTCATAACGCAGCCCCACCCGCCTGTGTGTTCGGGGGCTGGGACGGGGACTCTGCCCAGGTATTCACTGAGGTGCTGGCAGGATCTAGGTGGTGAGAAGAATGTTTTACTTCTCCTCTTTGGCGTATTCCAATATTTTATAGCATTTTGTACAATTAGGGAGAGTCTCTCCCAAAGAGGCTGGAGAGATTCTAGATGGCTTTCTCTTGCCACGAGCCTAAAATCAAGACACTATTGAAGATCAGGGCTCCTTCTGGCCTTTCCGCAATGGAAAGAAGGACAGACCCAAGCTGACTTTAAGCTTGAGCTCTGAGATTGGTATAGTAACACCTATCAACTAGGGCCATTGTGCACATCAAATGATATGGCCACAGGGCTCAGCAAAGCCTAGTGCAGATGAGGAGACTTCTATCCTAAGCCCCAGAGGCCTTCCCTGCAGGGACTCTCCTCCCTCCTCCATTGGCTGCTGTAACACTGGCTCCTCAAGGTCCCTGCCTGGCTTCCCTGAGCATGCTCTGTTCCTCTCCCCTCTGAATCTGGCTTCCACCAAAGGGAATGACTCTTCTTGGCTGCAAATGTCTTCTGCTGTTTCCATGTGAAATTCCTCTCCATGAAGTCAGAGCATGTCAAAAGTCACAGCACTGCTGGGGACAGGGTGTCCTCCTCCCACTCCTCTTCCCTTTCCCTTCTTCCTCACCCCCACTGCACCTTTGGGGGGATGTTGCCTTCTACACCATCCATCTAACCTGCAGCAGGAATGGGGAGGCATTCTGCTGATGTACTGTCCTCCGGGGGCCCCTCGGTGTGCACCAAGAACGCTCCCCAGTCCTCTCCAGGCTGTTGAGTGCCTCTCACCAGGGCCCCAGCAGCCCCAGGTCCTTGCCTGAGGCCAGATTGCACTGTGGGCTCTGGGATCGCACTGGGTTGCCATCAAGAGCTGGCAGCATGGGCTGAAGGTTTCGTTAGCTGGCTGTTTCCCAAACAAGGCCAAGAAATATTTACATGGTGATGACATCTGAATGCCCGGGATGGGGTACAAGTGAAACAATGAGCACTTTGGTACCAGAAAGGAGTCTGGGTGGTGGCGGCTGAAATTCCATTCATATTTGTGCCTGCAGATAAACACTATTAATACTGAAGGGCTGTGTCCTGGAGAGTGACGGGTGGGTCGGAGGTCCATGGGGGTGGTAGTGCAATGCAAGTCTTGTCCCCAGACTCGGCCCTTGTTCTGGCACAGTGGGTTGGCCACAGGGCTGGCTCCTTCCTTCTCCAGTGAGGTTTTTTTGTGTGTGAACAAGGGGTCTGAAGATGGGGGGGGAGGGGGGGAGAAGGGGGGTGTCAGGACATGTCTCCACCCCTTCCTTGACTTTAGCATCTGACCCACTTGAGGCCAGCAGAGCCCTCATTGAATAGGATGGCCTCCCTCCATTCTCTGCCTTGGAGGATGAGGCTTCTAAAATTTCTCCCAGGCTGGATGATAATGGAATATCACATCACCTCTGGCCTTTAATTTTCACCCCAGGGGATCATGAGCTGGGGGTGACAAGCAATCTGGTACTAATTATTAAATCACTAAATGCTGTGAATGTGTTTCCTTAAAAGAAAGCATCACAGCAAATGAGAAGTTGGGCTCTGGACTGTGTGCCTATTAATTGGAGCACCGTCCTGTGCACAGAAGGGTTGCGAGTTCAATTCCCGGTCAGGGCACACACCCAGGTTGTGGGTTCCATCCCTGGTGGGGCACGTACAGGAGGCAACTAATTGATGTTTCTCTCTCACATCAATGGTTCTCTCTCTCCCTCTTCCTCTAGAAAAAAAAAAGAAAAAAAAAAAGACCCTGGACACCTAAAGGCTCCAAGACAGACGCTCCTTCACTAGGACAGCAAAGCCATAATGGAGAATAGAACTGAGGGTGGGGGAGGCCAGGCCACAGTGAGGCCACGGAAGCAGGAAGCTGGGTTCAGGCCAGCCCCAAGTTCTAGGAAAGCCTCAAGGGCAGCTGTCTTCAAAGTGGGCGGGTGCAGTCTTGGGGGTGCACCAGATGATCCCTGGGGCACATGAAGAAAACCGAGCTCCTGTGTAAGTTTATGTCATCCTTCCAAATGTTCATCCACACTGTGAAATACATGTGGTGTGTTGGTATGTGGTATTATGCATATTGTATGTGGGTTGTTATAGACTTCTCAGCGAAGGCGGCCAATGTAAATTCGGCCTGGATGCTCACCACACCCCTCCCCGGAGCCTCTCCCACATGTGCTGTGCCCTGGGAACAGTCTCTATTCAGACTACAGATCTGGCCCTGGCCTCTCCAGGGGGCCAGGTAGGCAGCAGAGGACCCAGAGCCACCTAAGGCAGCGGTTGTCAACCTTCTGGACCTCACGGACCACCAGTGGCCTGCAGACTACCGGTTGGCCACCACTAACTAAGAGACAGATGGCAGTCCAGAATGAGACCTACTCTAGCTGGCCCTGCCGGGCCCTCTGGCTCCTCCAGGTTTCAGCCTGACCTTGAGGGGCCCAGCTTCCACCATGCTCATCCTCTCACTGGCTCCAATCACAATCCCCTCAGTGGGCCCCTCCTGGCTTCTCTACTCCCCGCCCCCAGCTTCATAACTCCTTGGGCCTCTCTCCTTCTGTAATATCTGCTCAAGAACTGTTCTGAGGCCACCCGTGCGCTGAATGAACACATTGCTCCAGATAAACCTGCTTCCCCATTCAGGGATCTCTTTATTCAATCTGCAAATTCATAACTTCCTCTGAGGGCATATAATCAAAATGCATTTGGTGCCTTTCTTATGACCAAGAACTGATGACCAACATCTTTGGGGCCCCGAAGGCAATTAATTCAATGGTATCTGCTTTGTCTTGTTTCCTTTTTTCCTAACAGAATTTCAGAATAAAAATAGAGCTCTATCATATATATATATATATTTATACACACACTTACATATATCGAGATCCTTCAACCACGTGGCAAAGGATCTGCTGCTCTCCGCAGTGCTGCTCACCTGGCGGAGGCCCAGGAGGCACGGGCTCTCCCTGGGAAGCACCTGGGGGCGCGGTGCTGAGCCAGTGTAGTGAGGAGGGTGGGCCTCCCACAGAGACTGGGCTAGGACAGACCCAGGCAACTCCTTTCCCAGCCTTTCCACACGTCTTAAAACGAGAGATGTACCTAGAGCTTTAAAACTAAAACCCAAAGTGCTGATAAAAAAAAAAAAGAAAAAAGAAAAGAAAAGAAAAGAAAGAATTCCCTTGATAGGCCTGTGGGGAGACCAACTTCTTGGGGAGAATTGCAGGAGCATCTTGCAGCAGGCAAGGGGAGCAGCAGGGAAGACACCCACCACCAGCACCCAGGTCCCCTGCAGACAAAGGTGTCTAGTATCCAGAGGCCTGTTCAACCAGTTGGAGGTGCCGGGCAGAGACAACCAAATGGCCAGGGTGGGGCTTGGGTTGCCCAAGAGAGCTCGAGGAATGGGTCATGGGTGGTGAGATGAGCTGGGACAGTCCCAGAGACTCGCATCTCCAGAGGGACGAGCATTGTACCTATTGCCCAGAAAGGTAAGGCTTGAAGGGATGTGCTGATGTAAGCTACTGGAAAGGGCTGGGTCCAGCAGCCACGTGTGTGTCCTGAGGTCCATCCTGGGGCTATGGCCTAGGGTCTAAGCAGCCTGCTTTAGCTGGGGTGTCCAGGAAGATGGAGATGGATGGAAATGGAGGGTTAGTTAAGGCCAGTGCTGTGCCCCTGGCCAGACACCAGAGGCCCCGAGGTCACTTGGCAGCAGAGGGGTGCACAGTGGATCCCAACTGGCCTCACCAGGCAAAGGTCAACGCCAGGCATTATCCACTAACTCAGCCTGGGAGAGGAACCCAGCGGTCCACCTCCTCCCCACTTGCCGGTGGAGTCAAGCTGTGACTGCTCTGGGCATGACCTGAGAGTGATCCAAAACCCTGTCCTGAGACTGGAACATGGGACCGGGGCTGCGGGCTCCCCAAGGCACAGAGGCACAGGGGGGTGAAGGACAGCTTTGAGGCTCTCAAGGAGCAAGTCCAGTTACCGTGACTCTCCTGAGGCGCCACGGAAGGAACCCGGGAAAACTCCTGGCCCAGCCGGAGGGCAGCTTGCAAGGTTCGTCTTTGGTGCTGGAGAGCAGAGAGCTGAGGTTCGAGACTAAAGCTTGTGCAAAGCCGGAAATCAGGGGTCAGGGATGTGGAGGGAGGGGGGCAGGAATGGGAGAGGGGTTTCCAGATGGGGAGGTAACCAAGCCACTCAGACCTGACTACACGCTTAGATGCTGCACAGATACTCTGAGGAGGGGCCCCCATGTTGACGTGGCCTCCCAGCTACTTCCTTGCTCATAAATGCCACCATGCCTGAGTCCCAAAGAGCAAGGAATTTGCTTTTGATGCAAATCTGGTCCACCCAGCTTGATGAGCAGCTCCCAGACCCAACTGGCCCCGGAGGGAATGCAGGGTGGGGTGGGGGAGGCGAGGAGAACTAGGGCTGCAGCTTGCAGAAGTGTTCCCTAGAGATGTATTTCCCTGAGGTCCTATTTCTCCCCCAACCCAAGCTCCCTGCTTCCTGCCCCCTCACACCCCCACCCTGCTGTGCGGGGGAGTCAGAGCTCTCTGGGGATGATGGAGAAGGGCAGCACGGGGCTGCTGGACTCCAGCTCCAGGGCAGTGAGGAAGCAGTCGATGGCGGCCTCGCTCTGGCCCTGGGCCTGCAGCACTTCGCCCAGGCCCTGCCATGCCTCGTGACAGGTGCTCTGCCTTTCCACGGCGTCCCGCAGCACCTTCTGGGCCAGGGACTTGTGGCCCAGCCGACACAGCATCAGACCCTGGGGAGCAAGCACAGGGCGGGGGTTAGTGAGGGTGTCCCGGGGGCAGGGGCATCCTGGCGATCAGGGCAAGGAGCGGCGTCTCTGGCTTGGATCTGGTCAAGTGACCGTGCCCACCACTAATGCAGATCCTACCGGTCCCACCACAGACCCGCTTCTAGCCCAGCCTCCCAGGTCATGCCCTGTGGGAGCCGTGTCCCTCCTGACCAGCTGGGAGATCCTGGACAAGCCGCCACGCTCTGGCCCTCGGTTTCCTCATCTATAAACAGGAAAGACCACAGTAGCCACCTCGAGCGGGAGTGGTCGTGAAGTTCACACGAGCCAGTGTAGGTAAGTACTTGAACAGTGTCTACCTGCTTGAGTCTAGTTAATGGCACTTTCTCCCAGCCTTGCTGCCACGCTGTCCTCCTCCCCAGGGACGCCACGAGATACAGAATGGATGCTGCAGGCTCCGGCTTCCGTCACCCGGGGCAGGACCTCAAGCTTGTGGGCAGGTCGGGGCAGTTCCTTTGCCTGCACCAGCAGCTGTTCTTCCCTAGGGATGTCTGGGTCCTGGGACCTAATGCCCATCCCAGGCTGGCCTGGCGGGGGAGGGTCACGGACAGTCAGATAGCTGGGGATGCAGGCTGAGTGAAAGGAGGATTCTGGGAGGCTGTGAGCTCGGCCTTAACATTTGGCTCCAACAACTCTGTTGTCAGAGAGATATAGGAAGTGACAGGAAAAAAGGGCTGGGAAGTGAAACTGGCGCCCTGCCCCTCTACATCCACTTCCACCCACACGGGAAAGGGTGGAGGGAGCAAGGGGGACAGGGCGGTGAGCAGAGGGGGGGAGGGGCAGGGCCTGTTTTTGGCCTCTGTTCTCATAAAGGCTTCTCTGCACCACCATATCAACTCACTGATCTGTGTCCCAGCCCTCAAAGGTGGCATAGGATGGCAGCACGGCAGGGGTGTGTGTGTGTGTGGAGGGAGGGACGTTCCTTTCGTTCAAAGACACGAGGTAACGCAGGAACAACACCGACTTCCTGGACAGGCGGGGGCCAGGGCGGGGAGGGGAGCTGCCTCCTGTGTGCCCGGAGCCCCTCTCGGGTGCCCGCCCACGGATGGCCATGTACATTTTTAGCTGGAACATTTTCATCCTCACCACACTCCCCAGAGTTAGGCCCGCCGTTGCCATGGAGACCCACTAGGAAAGATGCACATGCCTGGTTTCATAAAGTCCTCCGAGAGCCTGGAGCATGACCAATTAGGCAAGAGAAGATGGCGCTCAGGAAGCCCTAGTAAAAGCTCTCCCCGCTGCCCTGCTGGAGGCGCTGGTCGGTGGTCCTGCGGGGCCGGGGCCAGGGAAGGGAAAGAGGGACATATTCGGGCTCCTCAATCCCAGCCGGAGCCATCCCCGGGAGTCACGGGGATGAGGCGGAGGACAGGGGAGGACAGGGGAGCTGTGACAGGCGGGGCCTCCGGCAGGCCCCAGCTCCGGCTCGGCTCTGGCCAGATGGGAGCGGTGCTGACTCAGGGCTGCCTGGACCAGAGGGCTGTGCCCAGTCTGGCCAGCAAGGGCTCGGGGCCAAGCTGTTCTGCCCGCAGGGCCTGGGAGCTGCACCCCGAGCGGCTCACAGGGAGGAGGGAGGGAAGGAAGGCGAGACGACGGGCTGCCAGACACCAAAACTAAGCACCAAAAATGGAAGGTTTGAGCCCTGGGAGTGCTGCCGACGGGGGAGCGACAGAGGACGGATGGGGAAGGCCAGCCGGCAGAGCTTCCCAGCGCGGGGCGGGCCGCGGTGGCTTCACATGCTGAGGCTGCTCCATTGCGCTTCCGCAGGAGAGAGAGCCTGTTTGAAAAGATGGCTCTGTCTGGAAACGAGTTTGCAAACCCCTGATCTCAAGGAGCGTGTGGGTGTTTGGGAAGGGGCCAGGTGTGTCTGTCTGCAGGCTGAACAGGGCTCTGTGCGTGTGTGCGTGTGTGTGTGTGTGTGGGCGCTGTTCTCGGTTTGGGTGTGCAGCAGGCTCGGCGTGCTCTGAGCGGAGGACAAGTCGGGGCTCCACAGCCACGGGAACCCCAGAGCCCTGCCCCTGACACGTGCCGTGGCCCTGGGCAAGAGGCCCGTTTTCTCTGAGCCACAGTCTCCTCATCTGTAAACTGCGGAACACAAGAGTCCTTCCTCGCCAGCTACGGAGAGGAGTCTGCAATGATGGATTTGAAATCGCGGAGCCGGGCGGGGCGCAGGGTGGGCAGGGGGCGAATGGATGAGCAGAGAATCCTGGGAGGGGGAGACGGGGTAGATAGAACAGCCGATTTTTCTAGAGGGCGAGGCTCTCTGTGAGGAGACTGTGGGCAGGGCTGGGGCTGGATCACACCCCCCTTCCCACCCCGGGGTGCTGACCTTAGAGCCTGAAAGGAGACACCGGGCTGGGGTCAGGCTGGGGCCCAGAGGCCCGGGGCTGGTAACAGGATCTGCTGCCACCTGCCCGAGACACCAGCCTGTTCATGTTTGGTAGCAACTCGGAACTGTTTGCTGCTTGACAACTGGACGGAGCCCACCCCAGGAAGACTCTGGGTCTCACCTGCTCTGCCCCTGGCCTGCGCTGCCAAGGGCCTGGCGCCCCTGCCCCCAGCGAATGGGTCTTCAGAAGAGAGAGGGAGGGACCACAGTTCCATTCAAATATCCTGCGGACTCGTCCCCGCCCCGACCAGGGCATCCCGAACCCAGAGAAACCAGCCCTGCCGGTGACCCTAACCTGGGAGAGGCCACGGCTGTGCTCTCCTCACACGGGGACCAGAAAGGGAGTGCACGTTGCTTAAGGGACGAGAGGGGCCGGGGTTGCTGATAGCGCTCGGGGCAGGGCGGGGGAAGTCCCAGAAATTCCCGACTTCCTCCATTCCTCCCTCCCTTCTTGGGCTTAGGGGGTGGGGGGGGAGGGGGGGTAACACCTGGCCACATCTCATCTACCTGGGACCTGCTCCCCAAGACACCTTCCGTGAGGACAGCAGCCCCTCCTGCCCACACCACCGCCTTGACATTGTGCTGCATTCCTGTGGGATCCATGTGACCCCTGACCTCCACCAGAGGGCCCTGGGCTCAGAGCCAGGTACATCAGAGGCACTTGTGGGTGCTTCGTGACCTGCTTAGGGCCTCGGGACAGGCAGGCTGAGGGGGCCTCTGAGGGGGGCCCTCCCTGCTAGGAGCCCAGGTTTTCTGTAGAGCCAGGGACTGGAGCCTGGGATGGGGATGGAGAAAAAGGATCCCATCTTATTTTTCAGAACTGCCCCTGCACACAGCTCACCCCATTCATTCAGTGCCCGGGCTGGGTGGCAGGAAGGCCCAATGGCTGTGCGTGCCTTCTCCTCCTTTTGGGGGTGGCCTGCCCTGGGAAGTAGTCCCCAGCGCTGGGCCAGCTGCAGGCCATGCTGAGCGCTCCCTCCCCGCCCCTACCCTCAAGTATTTATAGAAGTTATTTTGGGAATTTTCTTTCTGAGCTCAAGGCACATTCCTGGGATTCTGTCACAACCTCTCCAGCTGGGAAGCAGGGAATCAGCTGGAGGCCGCTGGAGCCTGTTGGTCTCTGCAGCCTCAGGCTTGGGGACCCTGGGATGCTGGGAGGAGCCCCTAGTGGGGTCACCTCTGAGGCTGCTCCTCAGGAAGGCTCCCTCCCTTCACCCATCCTGGGGGGGGCTGGCACGCCCAGCGAGGGAGGCCCGCATTCCTGCAAGCTGGATTCTCCCAGGTGTGGCCTCAACCTGTCTGACCAGACCGGGAAAGAGGCGGCTCTCCAGGCTGAGAACCCAGCCCACACATCCCCACGTCCATCTTGAAGCTGGCGTGGCCCCCAAACCACAGGCTGGTCCCACTTCCCTGTTGGGAGAAAGGGCACAAATCCTTCTAGATCCCACCCAATGCCTGGCTGGTGACACCCCCAGAATTCCCCCCGGGCTCTCCTAGGAAGAGGCCCCTGTGGAGAGAGCCCAGCGGAGGGGGAGCCCCCTCCCCATCACAGCCAGGCCCTCGGGGCTCAGTCAGGAGGCTGCAGCAAGGCCTCTGGACTTCCGGTTTTAGAAGAGAAGACCTTGTGACTGGCAGTGGGCAGGGGGCCCATGGCAGAGGCTCCACTCTGGGACCAGCAGACAGAGGAAAGGGGTGGTGCTGGCCTGGTGGACAAGGGGACAGGGCTGAACCCCGCTCCTGCAGACAGCGAGTCTTCCGGGCCATTGCTTCTGGGCTAACCTGGGCCGGCAGCGCTGCACCAGCATGCCCATCTGAGCCTGTGACAGGCTGACAGCTTCCTTTCCGCTTCCCGGTGGGGGCTGGCGTGCACTTCAGGAGCGCACGCACAGCCGAAGGCGTTCCGAAAACCAGGGGAGCCGCCCTCACCTTCGGGAAGGTCTGAGCCTGGGCGGAGGGCTCTGTGTGCTGGGGGCTGTGTCAGGCTGGGGGGGGGGGGGGGGAGGCAGGTGGGCAGGGGCACCTCCCACCTTCCCCACAGTGAGCCCCAGAGCTCTCCTCCTCCTCCCCCTCCTCCTCCTCCTCCTCCTCCTCCCCCCCCCTCCTCCTCCCCCTCCTCCTCCTCCTCCTCCTCCCCCCCCCTCCTCCTCCTCCTCCTCCTCCCCCTCCTCCTCCTCCCCCTCCTTCTCCTCCTCCTCCTCCTCCTCCACTTTCCTATCAGGGACCACAGACCCCAGGCAGCACTGGGGAGGGTGAGAAACACAGAACTCACAGTAAAACCACCACCCAGCGAGGCAAATGACCAAGACCTTCCTTTTAGAGTTCCAGTCACCAAGAAGCAACATTCCCCATCAGCTGGCGGGGCAGAGACACTCCACTGACCGAGGGGCTGCGCGAACTCAGGTTCCACACGGTGGAACTCAGGTTCCAGTCCTCGGGGGACCAGACCCTCTCAGCCCCCAGCCCCAGCTCACGAGGCCGACGAGGGGGAGGTCTGGGGCAGATGGGCGCCCTGGGCCTGAGGGATGGGGCCCCAGGGACCAGAGACCCTACTGTTCCGAGT